ACTGGATTGGAAGAGGAGCAGTGAGGATAAGAACCTACGCCCATATGGGATGCAAGCGCTGCTGGCGGAGGATTAACCTACTGCGCCACAGCACCAGCTGCTTTACTTTTTCCTTTGTTGTATGCCAAGTCCCCTTCATGATTTGGAAGCTCCCATCATATTCTCTCTCTTTCTCTATCCTTCTTTATTTGAAAGGTTTGAGTTAGAGAGGGAGAGACGACTGTTCCAGCCACTGAACCACTCCCCCAAAACAGGACTGGGCCAGGCCAGAGACAGGAGCTTCTTCTGGGTCTCTCACGTGGGTGCAGGGGCCCAAAGTCTTGGGCCATCTTTTGCTTTCCCAGGCCATAGCAGTGAGCCGGATCAGAAGTGGAGCAACCAAGACTTGAACTGGCGCCCATCTGGGATGCTGGCACTGCAGGTGACAGCTTTACCTGCTATGCCACGCTCCGGCCCACTCTCCATCATCTCTTATGTAGTATTTGCACTCCTTATTTCTGCCATGTATCAAAAAAGGAATCAAAGCCTGATTGAATGTCTCTCCTTTGGCACCCACCCCCTGCACTCCTTTGCCCATTCTATCCACATATTCATTTCAAGTGTGTGGCATTATGTTCCACAGGCTTGTTAGAGGCTTCTGAAAAACATTGCTTTTCTTGTCATTTTAAACATACCTAATTCTATGATTTTGGCTTATTAATAACTAGTGTGGTCTTGCCTTTGCTTGCTTCTCAAAATGATCGTATGAAAATGTGAAGCCAAAAAATAATTTAAACAATTTGGGGGCTCTGAATTGAGGTGTTGCAGAATAGTGGCACTGAAAGCTTTGGTCAAGTCCAATACTGAGATGTGAAACGAAATGAAGACTTGTCTGTGTGTGTCTTCACACAGTAACAGTTGTGCTGACTCCCTGAAACATGCCTGCCAGAACCTGCACTTGGCTCTCTAAGCTACAGCAGCTGCCTAAAGAATGCATTGGGACAAAGGGTTGGAGGATTGTTTAACCTTTGGGGAAAAAGTTTACCTAACCAATAATGTAGCATGTGGTTAAACCTACATCATAGTTCAAAGAATTGCTTTACCTGAGCAATTTGACTTCCTTTGAACAGTGCCAAAGGTGGCCATAGGCTTTGAAATAACTGTTTTGCCTTGGAGTTTTGAAATGAAATTAGTTACTTGACCACTTAAAGTATGTAAGATTTAAACGTGGTTTATTTTCATAAGGTAAAACAGTATATTTGTGTTTTTTTTTTTTTTTTCCCAGCAGGATAGCTATTGTTTTGTTTTAAATCCAGGTCTTTCTCTTAGTGGGTTCTGGAACTTAGATTTAATCGCATCTGTTACGTTTTGTCACCACTGTGTCTCACACTGGCCAGAACAAGGGCATCTCCTTTAACATGGAATGGATTGTGAATCCAGGTTCCTTCATGATCTTAAGCATGTTAGTGGCCATTTTCTTCTTCTTCTTCTTTTTTAAAGCTTTTATTTAATGAGTGTGTTTTTCAAAGGAATATAGTGGTTCTTTCCGCAATATCCACCCTCTCACCCCAGCTCCCATCCAACCTCCACACCTTCTCCCATCGCCTTCTTCATTATGGTTTATTTTTAGTTTAATTGTATATACAGAGGACCAACTCTATTGAGGGCATAGTCATAGGCAGCACTTGGGGCTGTGAGTACAGGCAGTGCCTCTAGCATTCAGATCACATAGTGAACACAGCTCTAGGATATGGTTACTTGGCAAAGACAGTGCTGTTCATTTAGCCAGCTTTGTAGGGTTCCTGCCAAGTTCTAGAGGAAGACTTTGAAGGTAGAAATGGCTTGATCCTGCTCCACAAAAGTTCATGGTTGAGGAGGAGAAGGCACAGTCCAGCCTTCTGTTCCCTTGATGTAGGTTTTAGTGATCTGAATGGGACTAGATCGAAGAGATTTTGATTCTTTGTTATGGGGTGCAGAGGTGCTCAACCAGGTATGCTGTGGTCTGTCTCCTCATTCTTCACATCTTAGTACCAGTTCTTCACATGCAGTATGTGCTTGACCTTGGATGTAATTTCTGGGGGACTTGCAGTGTACTTCAGCTAATTTCATAAAAATGTTTCCTTCTCTCAAAAGCCTTCACATATCATCAAACTTCATTTTCCTCAACTGTTTGAGGAATTTTTAAAAATTAATGGCATCCATGATTAACTTTCTATACTAGCAAAACTTATTATTTTTAAGTAACTCATAAAACATTGCAGATCAAAAATCTCTGAAAAGCCCTCCTTCTTCCCCCAATACCATGCTGGTTTATGTTAAAGTCACTGGAAGTTTCTGTTGTTACTTGTCTGAGTCAGCAAACGTTGACAAAATATCTGTGTCTGCTGTGTAAGTCCCAGTATATCCCAAGTAGTAAATTTTGTTTGACCCCACTGGATTCTTTTTGAGTGCTAATTGTAGATATGTTCCCGACTCTTCCTTCAGAGGTCACTCTCTTTAGGTCCTGAATAGCTTTTGTACCTGTGGTCATATTTTGTTTTTGTCAGCATAAGTCTCTGAATGGGAAATTTTCAGAATCTCAGACAGCATTTTCATGGCACCTGTTATTCCCAAAGAGTAAGTAGAGCCTAGAATTAGAACAGTGTAGTCATGGAAGTAAGACATTCAGAAGCTCAGTGAAAAGGAGCGGGGAGTTTTAATCCTCTGTTTGCAACATGGGTTACATGATCATTGATGTTACCAGAATTTAAGGCATGTCAGTTTTATAAAAAAAAAAAATAAAAAAAATAAAAAATCCAGTGACTAAGAAAACAGAGCCATTTACTATAGTTTGTCGGTGAACACACTTTGCTAGATTTCTTTGGGGGCGGTGTGAGGGCTGTGTTGTACCTTAGGGTAATTCCAAAGATGTGTCTTCTGTGGTTGTGTGTACACAGCCTCACCACCATTTAGCAGTTAAGCCCATTGAATGGCTTTCTTGTGCACCATTACGCTTATCGACTGCTGGGTCCTATGCCTGAAGGTGGATTTCAAGCCTCTATAAAATACAATTTAGTTTGTCAGATAAACACAGAGCAAGGCCTGCGTTTACACAGTAGCTAACAGCTTTCATTTTATTTAGAAACTTATCAAAGGATGATTTCAGTACATTTGTTGGTAAAAGTAGTTCCTTGGCAGAATTAGCACATTGCATGTAGGCGGTCATTTAGGAAAGAGCCAATTTTTATCATTTATTTTCATTAGCAAATACAGTGATTTTTACCAAGATTTCCCAAAATAAACATGCCTGCTTACTTCAGCGCTAGGTGGTGACTTTGCTGTAAACATTGTTGGTCAGACTATTGCAGAGGTATTTTTAGAAATTCTGAAGGGTTTTGACTTCCAATAAAAAAGGTTTAGCGTATCAGTAATACTGCAGCAGCTATTTTTCTTTCCAGTTTTATTTATAGTGTTTCCTCAAGTAATCATGCTCAAGATATCTGAGGGCCATGGGAGAGTGTAGTTACTGATTTCTACTATTGAAATTTGAGCATCTCCATAGAAAGTTAGGGGTGGCAGGTGTTAATGTCTAAGAAAACATGTACAGAAAGTTTGAGGAAGTGAGCTGACTTTTCCCCACCAGAATGGTAAACATGCTGTCTAGACAACATTATCTTTTGTATAAGAGTACTTCATAAACTTTGTGGAAAGTGGATTTACTCGATAAATTTATTTTGGTACAGAATGTTTGAACTTCATGCATAGTTTTTTCATAATACATGTTTTCCACAAGCATTTTTATTTACTTAATTTTTGAAAAGATTTACTTATTTTGAAAGTCTGGCCATGTCAAACTAGGAGCCTAGAACACAATTTGGACCTCCCATGTGGGTGGCAGGTACTCGAGTACTTGAGCCATCACCTGCTGTCAGGACTTGAACCCAGGCGCTCAGATATGGTGTGTGGGCATTTTAAATGCTGCCAGAGGTCCCCTCCCTTTGTGAACTTTTTGAAAGCTCCTCATTTGCATGGTTTTCACATTTTTTTTGCATGAAAATTAGCTTTTAATTCTATTTCCTATAAACTTTTTTTTTTTTTTTTTTGGACAGGCAGAGTGGACAGTGAGAGAGAGAGAGAGGTCTTCCTTTGCCCTTGGTTCACCCTCCAATGGCCGCCGTGGCCGGCGCACCGCGCTGATCCGAAAGCAGGAGCCAGGTACTTATCCTGGTCTCCCATGGGGTGCAGGGCCCAAGCACCTGGGCCATCCTCCACTGCACTCCCTGGCCACAGTAGAGAGCTGGCCTGGAAGAGGGGCAACCGGGACAGAATCCGGCACCCCGACCGGGACTAGAACCCGGTGTGCCAGCGCCGCAAGGCGGAGGATTAGCCTAGTGAGCCGCGGCGCCGGCCTCCTATAAACTTTTTGAAGTATACTTGTATTTCTGTGTTTCCCATTGATTAGTGTTCTTAGAAAAGAGAATACATTTTTGCCTGTGAAAAATACTGTCCAAAGATCGTTATTAAGATGACTGTTCTGTTACAGTTCCTTGATAGCTTCTTATATCTCACTGTGTATTTATTTCTTGCATAGTGCTTTTTATGTGCCTGGCACTATCCTATGTGCTTAACAAATAGTCCTCATTTATCATTCACTCATTTAATGGTTAATCGTTTACTCCAGTTCACCTACAAACTGTGAAAAAAAAGAAAAAAGTTTGAGCGTGTTGTGTTGTGTGTGTGTGGATGCTGGCCTCATGGTTAGGGCTCTGACTCTAGTGGGGTGACAGCAGATGTTTGCCTAGTGGATGGTTCTGCTTCAGTGCTCAGACCATGGGAAGGACTGAGTTCAGAGCTGCTAAGGGCCTTTGAACTGGACTGGCTCCTTTGTCATCCTGTCATTTCCACAGAAGTAAAACACTTGATGCAATCACCCACCCTGCCCCTCTCTTGATATCCTTGAACATAGTCTATTCATATGCAGTTAGCAAAGTTGCTGGAAATTATTTCAAGTCTTACGCTGTGTCTGTCCCTGCCCATTCCAGCATGCTTGAAGATGACCTTCAGCTCAGCGACAGTGAGGACAGTGACAGTGAACAAGTAAGCTTCGGACATCCCATCGTTCCAGGAATCCTTTTAAATCCATCTGGTATATCTGAGCTGCTTATCCTAATATGTTTTTTGTTCTTTTTCTGGTCCTCCTTCCTTTTTGTGAACACCTAGACCCCAGAGAAGCCGCCTTCCTCAGCCGCACCTCCAAGGTATGTGTGCCAGTTTCCCTCAAGTTGTACGGAACATTTGCGTTGTTTTACCAACCAGATGTGGAGAAAAAACAAAACCTTAGCACCCTTAGTTTCTTCATGGGGAAGGAGATAGAGGACCACAGTTAAAGGAAAGTACAGTTTAATATTTTGGAAGCTTAAATTAACTAAAGAGTAGTTGTTAACGCTAAAAACATGATATGGTCTGTGCCAACTGACTTTACCAGTTTGAATGTTAAAAAATTTTGAGAGTTTAAAAGTGAACTTAAAGCACAATTTATTATCAGTTTTGTATAACCAGAATTTGAATAGTTAGACTGAAGAGCCCTATGTTTTAAACAAGTTGACAGGTTTGCTGTGAGTTTTAAAGATTTATTTATTTGAAGAGCAGAGTGACCAAGAGAGAGAGAGAAAGATCTTCCATTTGCTGGTTCATTCCCCATAAGCTTGCAACAACCAGGACTTGAGGCCAGACCAAAGCCAGAAGCCGGGAACTCCATCTGAGTCACCCACACCTTGCTATTTTTTTTTTTTTTTTAAGATTTCTTATTTAAATTTTAAAGGCAGGATGAGAGAGAGCAAGATCTTCCATCTGCTGGTTCACTCCCCAAGTGACCACATAGCAAGGGCTGGGCCAGGTTGAAACCAGGAGCCTGGAACTCCATCCAGGTCTTGCACGTGGGTGGCAGTGGCCAAGTACTTGGGCTGTCTTCTGCTTTTTCAGCGCATTAGCAGGGCCCTGGATTGGAAGCAGAGCAGCTGGGGCTTGAACCAGAGCTCATATGGGATGCTGGCATCATAGGCTACGGCCTAACCTGCTGCGCCACGATTTACTATGTTTTTAAAAACTGAATAGCTGAATCATTTCTAGAACTTGTTTTTCACTGTACCTTGTTTTTTTTTTTAAGAGTTACAGGACTTTAATTGTTTCAGCTGCTTTTGAACCTGCAAGTTGTTTTTGTGTGATGGAAAATGGTACTGTTTTAATTTTGTAAACAAGCCAGCCATCTTTTAGGAAATATGTTACTATAGTGTTGGTAAACAAAAACTTTTTGAGCTATTATTTTTCTTCTAAGTTTAGTTATTTTATGTGCAAGCTACCTGCCTTTCATAGATAAAGTGATTTTATTCCATTGAGACTTGCTCATTCCTTTAGAGATGGTAAAAACCCAGTGATCATATAACTTGATGTTATCGTTAATGTGGAGGGAGCCCATGTAATAATAAAAAGCCTTATGGATTTGTACGGTTGGCTTCTATATTCTGTTTCTTTAGGAATTTCTGGTGCATCATGGCTGTTCATAAAATATAACAAAGTAGCCTAACTTTAAAGTGAAAGCAAAGGGAAACGCCCTGGTGAGGATGACCGAAGGGCAGTGGTAACACTGAAAGTGCGTCCATGATGAGCCTCCCTGGTTTGATTTCAGTCACAGGTGTGAAAGGGCTCACATACTTGAGCGTGCATTTTTCCTGAGGAAATTATGTGGTGATATGGTATGCTTGTGTTAGAATTACTTCAACTAGGCCGGCGCCGCGGCTCATTAGGCTAATCCTCCGCCTTGCGGCGCCGGCACACTGGGTTCTAGTCCCGATCGGGGTGCCGGATTCTATCCCGGTTGTCCCTCTTCCAGGCCAGCTCTCTGCTGTGGCCCGGGAAGGCAGTGGAGGATGGCCCAAGTGCTTGGGCCCTGCACCCCATGGGAGACCAGGATAAGCACCTGGCTCCTGCCATCGGATCAGCACTGTGCGCCGGCCACAGTGGCCATTGGAGGGTGAACCAACGGCAAAAGGAAGACCTTTCTCTCTGTCTCTCTCGCAGTGTGAGCAGCATATATTTTCTCACTTACCTGAAGTCATTGCCTTTTTTTTTTTTTTGTAAGGAATACAAATTTCATAAATACAACTTTGGGAATATAATTATTCTTCCCACCATACCCGCCCTCCCAGCCACACTTCCAACCCTCCTTCTCCCCTTCCCAGTCCCATTTTCCATTAAGATTCATTTTCAATGAACTTTGTACACAGAAGACCAACTCTGTACTAAGTAAAGACTTCAACAGTTTGCACACACAAGAAAACTGAGAACTAGTTTTACAGTTAACTCTTGTAAGTCATTGAGGACAGAGGTCCTGCATGGGGAGTTAATGCACAGTGACTCCTGTTGTTAATTTAACAATTAATACTCCTATGAATGATGTCAGTGACCACACAAGGCTCTTGACTTGAGCTACCTAGGCTGTGGAAGCCTTTTGAACCCACAAACTCCCTCAGTATTTAGACAAGGCCATAAGCAAAGTGGACGTTCTCTCCTTCCTTTAAAGAAAAGTCCATCCTTCTTTGATGGCCATTTCTTTCTGCTGGGATCTCACAGAGATCCTTCATGTAGAACATCTTTTGCCACAGTATCTTGATTGCCTTGTTCTTACAGCTTGGAGTAGTTATCTCTACTTTGCTGATATTTGACCTTCCAAAGGATCACCGTTTATATTCAGCGATCCTTGTTTACCATGTGGTTAATTCTCTCATACAGAGAATCTAGGGAAATTATAGTTTTTGAAAGATTTATTTATTTATTTATTTGAAAGGTAGAGTTACAGAGAAGCAGAGAGAGAGAAAGTCTTCCATCTGCTGGTCCACTTCCCAGATGGCCGCAATGGCCAGAGCTGGGCTGATCCAAAGCCAGGAGCCAAGAGCCTCCTCTGGGTCTCCCACTTGGGTGCAAGGGCCCTAGGACTTGGGCCACCCTCCACTGCTTTCCCAGGCCACAGGAGTGAGCTGGATCGGAAGTAGAGTTCTGGGACTCGAACTGGCGCCCATATGGGATGCTGACACTGCAGGAGGCTGTCCTACCCACTATGCCACAGTGCCGGTCCGAGATTGTAATTTTGTGGCGTTCCTTTTGTAACTTAATTTCTATAGGTTATCTATAGCAGCGGTCAGCAAACTTAAAGTTCTAAGCTGCAAGTATTGTATAACTCATGGGCCATTAAGTTGCAGCTCCCCTACTCAGCTTTTGTAACTTACAAAAGCAGGCATAGACTTTATACGAGAGGAGGATGGGTGTAGGTGTGTTCTAATAAAACTCTACTTAGAAAGACAGCCCAGCCACCCCAGGCCCTGGCTCACCAACCTGCAAGATAAAGCACCCAGCATCTACCTTACCTGTGTACCGTGCACTTCTGCCTACATTACACTTGGTTTGTCCTTCAGGGTAACAATCCACACGTTTCTTTTTTCTGTAGTTATCTGGTGAACTGTTTTAAAAAGTGTTGTTTTGTTTTGTTTTGTTTTGTTGCTGTGTTTTAAAACACTGTAGGCCTCTCCTGTGGCTGATAGGACAGTTTATTTGTGTTAGGTAATACTGACCCCTTCCTTTCCAGTAGCAAGAAAACGAGCAGGGGATGGTAAGTGGGAAGGAATCCACCTCGCAGGGTGTCTAATTTTATCTTCTGGTTGCTTTGCAGTGCTCCCCAGTCGCTTCCACAGCCAGTGGCATCAGCACATTCCAGTAGTGCCGAGTCGGAGAGCAGCAGTGACTCGGACAGCTCCTCAGACTCGGAGAGTGAGAGCAGTTCCAGTGACAGCGAAGAGAATGAGCCCCTTGAAACCCCGGCTCCAGAGGTACCGTGCCCCCCTGGAGAAGGCCATCCAAGGTGGCAGCATTCTGTCTTCTGCGCCAGAGTCTGTGCTGTGGGCCCGGACGTCCCCGGGACTGAGCAGTCCTTGCCCCGGCGCAGTGCTCTCCTGCCCCTGCTCTGCTGTGCCTAATTCTGACCAACCCTTGGTCGTGGAAATCCGGGAGAGGTGTCTGCTGTCTCCTGTTCGAAATGATAGGTTCTTCTCTGAAAGAAAACTCATTGAGAATGTCTGCACATCATTTTCTCTTCCTGTCTTTTGAGAAAGAAATCCTGTTTTCAGTAGGCTAGCATTTTAATATTAATGAGTTTTTTTGGGGGGGATGAAATTCAGGATGCATGAATTAAAGCAAAAGGGTTGCGCTTGATTTAGCAGAGGGCAGGAACATGAACTCAAAATAAGTCATCAGGAGTTCTATTTTTGGATCACTAAAAGCCATGCATTATATTGATGGCAAAGTGATTTTGCCAGGGCCCCATGTGGAACAGGGAGATCTGTGTTTCCTGTCACCCATGCCAAGGAGATTCTGTGAATAGGAGCAAACCCGTGACACTGAACCTCTCATACCCTAAATTTATCCACAGAATTTATGCTATTTACTGGATTGTTGAGCACAGAACATTGTTAGTAACAAGTAACAAGGTTACCAAATAGCCTCAAAATTTGGATATTAGCGTAAAAATTATACAGGGTAGAAGTGCTACTGAAAAGGGAAAGCATTCTCGTTTCCTTTCTGTGAATGAGAGCGGCTGCATAGAGGAGATTATTCTGCACATTTAAGAAGAGAACACCAGGAAATCGAGGCTTTCTGATTTAAAAAGCATCAGATTTTTCTCCGCCCCTGCTGTGGAGAACACAAGCAGTCCCACCAGAGCCTTACCTGACTGCTCTGGTGATTCACGTAGGCAGACGGGAGAGCCTGGAGTGCATGAAATGGGTGTCATTTTTTGCTTGATGTGTATCTATGTCTGGCACAGTGAAGGTGCCAGTATTTTTTGGAATGAGTGGAAATGGCTTCACATTAAGTGCAGTTGACGTGCCTTCTGCATTTTAGAAACCACTCTGTTCCTAGGGCTCTTTGTTTCATTGTATGAAGCTAATTGCAGTTGAAATAATTTTTCTATGCCTGCAGGACAAGGATGGTGAATATGCAGTGCCCACAGACTGTGTGATGTTCACTGTCGTCAAGACCTCCTCTTTATGTGTCATTGTATTCAGATAGAAAAATCTCTAGACTTGATAGGTCACTGATCTCTGAAGGCCAATTCAGTTATTTAGTAAAATTCAACTCCAGTAAAATGGAAATGGTACAGTTTTGACTGAATAGTTGAAAGTTACAACAAAATGTTAATCTTGGTGTTTGTAATTATTAGATGTAGTTACGTCCTACTGCTCTACAAGTTAGTGGATCAAGACCTCTTCAGTGTAAAATAATGCTCCCATCTTTATTTTTAAAAACCACTTCACTGGGCTGGCGCCGCGGCTTACTAGGCTAATCCTCTGCCTTGCGACACTGGCACACGGGTTCTAGTCCCGGTGGGGGCGCCAGATTCTGTCCCGGTTGCTTCTCTTCCAGGCCAGCTCTCTGCTGTGGCCCGGGAGTGCAATGGAGGATGGCCCAAGTGCTTGGGCCCTGCACCCCATGGGAGACCAGGATAAGTACCTGGCTCCTGCCATCAGATCAGCGCGATGCGCCAGCTGCGGCGGCCATTGGAGGGTGAACCAACGGCAAAGGAAGACATTTCTCTCTGTCTCTCTGTCTCTCTCTCTCTCACTGTCCACTCTGCCTGTCAAAAAAAAAAAAAAACCACTTCACTAAAAGCAGCTGATATTTGTACTGCCGTAGTGAGTTGCAAATCTAGGCTCTGAGATGGTTGTATGCACTGAGACTCATCTTACAAGGAATATTTTGTCTTTACTTAGATTTTATACTTTTATTAGGTGTTTAACTACTTTTCTTCCTCTTTGAAAAAGTGAAGTCTGGAAAACATTATTCTATTCTTGGTTATTTAGGAATCTGCTTAGTTTTCTCAGCTATTGATTGTTCAGGCATTTGATAGTAAACTAGCTTGTACTGTTCGCATAGTCGGTTCTTAGAGCTCTGTTGTAAATTATTTGACTTATTTCCAAACAACTCTGCAAGATTAATAGCTTTCTTTTGCCTCTAAAGAAGTAGTTCTAAAATTGAAACTTTGAACCATTTAACTCTGGGAGCTTTTTTCTTTTCTTTTTTTTTTTTTAAGACCTAATATACACTTATCTTCTCATACACTTTTTTTCAGTTTTATTTATTTGAAAGGCAGAGTTACAGAGAAGTAGTAGTGGAGAGAGGGAGGGAGAGAGGTCTTCCATCCATTGGTTCATTCCCCGAATGGCCACAACAACCAAAGCTGGGCCGAACCAAAGCCAAGAGCCAGGAGCTTCTTCTGGGTCTCCCATGCAGATGCAAGGACCCAAGGACTTGCACCATCTTCTGCTCCTTTCCCAGGTACATTAGCACGGAGCTGGATCAGAAGTGGAGCAACTGGGACTCGAACTGGTGCCATATGGGATGCCGGCACTACAGGCAGCAGCTTTACTGGCTACGCCACAGGCTGGCTCCTGGAAGCTATTTTTCTGTTATTTTTTTGTTTCTAATTAAGCTTTGCCCCCCCCGCTGACTGTATCTGCATTTATGTCAGTTGTAAGTAACATGAATTCCTTAATCAGCCATAGAAACCATCCTTATCTTCCTCACTCTTTATTTCATTTATTTTTAATGCTTTGTGTTTAAAAAATATTTTTTAAGATTGATTTATTTGAAAGGCAAAAAGTTACAGAGGGGTGGGGAGGCAGGGAGGGAGGGAGGGAGGGAGTCTGTCTGCAAATGGCCACAACAGCCAAAACTAGATCAGGCCAAAGCAAGGAGCCCGGAACTCCTCCTTGTCTTATAGGTGGCAGGGGCCCAAAGACTTTGGGAATATTCCACTGATTTTCCAGGCATGTTAACAAGGAAACTATGAGGTTTTACTGAAAACATAGCTATATATTGTACATAGCTCAGAAGTTCTTATTCAGAGCCATACTTTATTCTAAAATACACTAACTTTTGCCAGTTTCAGAGATTTGGAGAAATAAAGAAACATATGTATAAACATGTATTAAAACAATTAACAGGAGGCGGCCTGTGGCGTAGTGAGTAAAACTGCCACCTGCAATGCCGGCGTCCTATATGGGCGCCAGTTCGGATCCCAGCTGCTCCTCTTCTGATCCAGCTCTCTGCTATGGCCTGGGAAAGCAGTGCAAGGTGGTTCAAGTCCTTGGGCCCCTGCCTCCTGCATGAGGCACCCAGAAGAAGCTTGTAGCTCCTGGCTTCAGATCGGTTCAGCTCTGGCCCTTGTGGCCATTTGGGGAGTGAACCAGTGGATAGATGACTTCTCTCTCTCCCTCTCTCCCTCCTACCCTCCTTCTCCCCTCTTTCTCAGCCTCCGCCTCCGCCTCTCAGTAACTCTGCCTTTCAAATAAATAAATAATTTTTTAAAAAACAATTAACAAAAATAATTATAAATTTTTTTCTACTTTGAATTTTCAACGGAGGTTGAGCATCCCTAATCCCCAAATCCAGAATGTTCTAAAATCTGAAACTTTTTGAGCACCTGCATGATGGCACACCTGATTCACGTGTCGGGGATTGTCCAAAATTAGGCACGTTATAGGCTTGTGTTAAATTTTTTTCAGCCCTGTGTGCAAGATTCATATGCAGCATGAAAGAAAAATGAACTTGGTGTTTAGCTTTTTGTCCATCCCCCCCCCCCCCTTTTGTTTTTTGACAGGCAGAGTAGACAGTGAGAGAGAGAAAGGTCTTCCTTTTTCCATTGGTTCACCCCACAATGGCTGCTGTGGCAGGTGCACCATGCTTATCTGAAGCCAGGAGCCAGGTGCTCCCTCCTGGTCTCCCATGCGGGTGCAGGCCCAAGGACTTGGGCCATCCTCCACTGCCCTCCTGGGCCACAGCAGAGAGCTGGACTGGAAGAGGAGCAACCGGAATAGAATCCGGCACCCTGACTGGGACTAGAACCCCGGGGTGCCGGCGCCGCAGGCGGAGGATTAGCCTATTGAGCCACGGCGCCGGCCTGTCCATCCTTTAAATATCTCACTATGTATATGTGAATATTCTAGAATATTTTTTTCAAAAAGTGAAATATTAATACCATCTTTGGATAAGGATTCCACCAGTCCTGGGAAGATAGAAGGGAATGAGGAAAGGCAGAAGGGTCAGACCCCTGAATCCTATGTGATGCTTATCTACTTAACATTCATTTTAAAGTCTATTCTTAGTTAGACCCATATGCAGCAGGATCTGAGTCATACCTGACCTGAAAGGATGTTAACCATTCTGCAGATTTAACTGGATACACAGAAAGGAGTGCCCTACCCTTTCCCCTTGTCTAGGCTCACCAACTTCATTTTGCCCTGAAATTGGGCCGTGGGCCTCTCTCCTGGACATTTTTAGGACCACAGAAGAAGTAAATGTTTTATTTCTGTAATCAGGACATTCCTTTAGGGACTACTAAAAGTATCACAATACTGCCCTGTTTGTGGGGGTTACTTATACTGGGAATGTCTTCCCTTTTTGGCTCACTCAGAAGTACTCTTTTAAAGAACATGCCAGTGGTTGGGGTGCAGCCTAACCTTTCCTGCGGAAGGGCGTGAGGGGTTGAGTTCCTAGCACGACTGGCATGTGCCGCATCTTACTGCCTTGTCCTATCGGCTTATCACTGGTACACCACACCCTCCTGTCCTTGAAGGAAATCATGTTTGACAAGTATGTATTGTTTGCTAATCTTTTCTCTACCCTTAGCTATCATCTTGCCCTGTTAGAATATTGAATGCAGATTTGGATCACATGTGACAAAGTGCCTGGCACATAATAGTGGTTTCCTTCTTCCCTCTCTTCCTGTTCTGGAATTCAGTGAGAGCTTGGGTGTAGAGTTGGTTCAATTGTAGGAAGCTGGAAAGGAGATACATTGTCATAGCAGCGGTAAGGTAAAAGAAGGGGTAAGAAAGAATTACACAGCTACCTTTCTGTCCGAAGATTTTTTTTTTCTTTTTTCTTTATTCTTTCTTTTCTTCTTCTTTTTTTTTTTTTTTTTTGACAGGTAGAGTTAGACAGTGAGAGAGAGACAGAGAGAAAGGGAGAAAGGTCTTCCTTCCGTTGGTTCACCCCCTAAATGGCCACTACGGCCGGAGCTGCACCGATCTGAAGCCAGGAGCCAGGTGCTTCCTCCTGGTCTCCCATGAGGGTACAGGGGCCCAAGCACTTGGGCCATCCTCTACTGCACTCCCAGGCCACAGCAGAGAGCTGGACTGGAAGAGGAGCAACCAGGACTAGAACCTGGCGCCAATTTGGGATGCTGGCACTGCAGGCGGAGGATTAGCCAAGTGAGCCATGGCACCGGCCCCCTGAAGATTTCTTAAAGATTTTCCTAGCTCTGTTGTGTTATAGTCACACTAAGCCCAAAGAACCCGCTTGATCATTTTATTCCTGACCAGAAAGCCTTTACATGCTGTTCTCTTACTTTTGTATTATTAGAATTGCATGTGTTGAAGAGTCAAAATATTGGATTATACTACTTGGAAAATGTGTCAGTAATCTTACTCTTAAAAGTCTCCATCTACTGTAGTGGTTTCCTTATCTACAATCAGTTAATTCCCATGTGAAGTCTTCCAGCAGTCTTCTTAGTGCGTTGTGTATAAGTTTTAGTCATTCATACAAACCACCTGTCAGAATGGAACATAAGCAATAAGCCAGCGACGTAGCCCTTAAAGTATAGTCATCATTTACCCTGTTGGACACTAATATTCTTCTCTGTGAGGTAAAATTCATATATATGGCAGTGCACCCACAGGAATGCTCAGGTATCTCGTATAGCACTGAGAGCAAGACAAAGCAGTGGATCTTGGAGATGTAGAGGTCTCTGTTCTGTTAAGATCTGAGATCCTTGTGGGAGAATGATGCGATGCATCAATAGTTGATTTAGCAACAATGGCTTAAGTAACAAGAGTGAAGTTAGGCACTTCTGTTTATTTGCGGAATCAGTTGTTCAGGTAATCAGTGTAATCTCATTGTGGTCAGCATGTGCTCTGGAAAGTCTGTTTCTGTTGTGGAGACACAGGTGCAGCTTCAGACCAGGTTACCTGCAACAAGACACTCAATGTCTGGCTTTTAAAGACTGTAAGTGGAGCTGGTATTTGGCTAATGTGGCCTCACTTGACATCTTTTTTTAAAAAATCAAGGTGTAAAATTTGAAAATCATTACATATCAATGATACACTGATAGAGCCATGTCACAAATGTAACATTCTTAAGTACATAAGAGAAATGAAATCCTTGAAAAAGTCTTTTTCAGTTGAAAAGGATGTCAAAATAAGAGACAAAACATGGCATCTGTTGCTAATCACTAAACGTAGTGTATTTACTAGCCACCTTCTCAAAGTCCTTGATAAGAGTTCCTGTTACTCATTTCCCTTATTATTCTCTGTAATAGAGCATTTTACCAGCACTGTTTTGCCAACTACTAGAACAGTTGGCTAAAATGTGTCAACTCTGTTCATACTGTACCATTGGAACAAAATGTTCATACTACCAACATTCTCAGTAGTTGTCTATGGCTATTAGTCAATATCTACTACAACAGAATTCCCAAAATGAAGTGTTTTCACAGTTGATTATTGCAGAATCTGACCTGTGATTGGAGGAGAATAAATAGAACCTAAAAAAATTTTTTAGACATTTATTTTGTCCTTTGAACAGGAGAGTTAACAGTGCAGGGGTGGGGGTGACATGGAGAAATCTTCTATCCTCTGGTTCACTCCCCTGGTGGTCCAGAAGTGAAGGCTGGACCAAGCTGAAGCCAAGAGCTCCATCCTGGTCTCCCACTGTGGTGTCAGGGACCCAAGCACATGGGCCATCATCTGTATTCCCACACCCATTAGCAGGGAGTTGGATTGGTAGTGGAGCAGCCGGGGCTGGAACCAATGATCTTTTGGGATGCCCCTGTCCTTGCAGGCTGTGGCTTACTTCCTGGCCACAAAACTGGCCCCAGAACCTAAATTCTTTTTTTTTTTTTTTTTAAAGATTTATTTTATTTATTTGAAAGAGTTACAGAGAGAGGTAGAGACAGAGAGAGAGAGGTCTTCCTTCCACTGGTTCACTCCCCAGATGGCCACGATGGCCGGAGCTGTACTGATACAAAGCCAGGAGCCTCCTCCGGGTCTCCCACATGGGTACAGGGGCCCAAGGACTTGGGCCATCTTCTACTGCTATCCCAGGCCATAGCAGAGAGCTGAACGGGAAGAGGAGCAGCCGGGACTAGAACCGGCACCCATATGGGATGCCAGGACTTCAGGCCAGGGCTTTAACCCACTGCGCCACAGCACGGGCCCCATGAACCTAAATTCTTAGGTTCGAAATAATTCCTCTCCCCAGGACAATTCTGTATAACCAAATGACTCACAAAAAAGAAGAGTTTCTCATCATTGGTCTTCTCTGTGTTTCCTTATTTTTTAGCCAGAGCCTCCAACAACCAACAAATGGCAGTTGGACAACTGGTTGACCAAAGTGAGCCAGCCAGCAGCGCTCCCTGAAGGCCTCGGGCGCCCAGAGCCCGTGCGCCGACACCAGGAGGGCAAGGGCGGCAGTGACAGCGGCACAACAGGGCAGGAACATGCTGACCCCAAAGATCCAACCGCCAAGAACTCCAGCAAAGCCCCCCGGATCCCTCCCGAAGGCTCTCACTCTGGAAAGAGAAGCTGCCAGAAGTCACCTGCACCCCAGGAACCTTTGCTGAGGCAAACCCTTGGAACCAAACAACCCAAAAAGCCCGCCAAAGTTGCTGGCCAGGCCCACTCGCAGGCTGGCCTGCAGGTGGAAAGTGAGCCAGGACGGGCCCTGGACTCTGTGCAGCAGACCGCCAAGGACAAGCCTAAAGTGAAGACGAAAGGCAGGCCACGCTCTGGGGCTGGCCGAGAGTCCAAGCCTGCTGTTCCCACCCCCGGTGAGCGGAAAAAACACAAGAGCCCCCCGCCACCGGCCCCCTGCAAGGCGCCTGCGGGCCGGGAACCCACAAAGGAACACGCAGAGGCCCGGAGCCCCGAACCCTTAGCTCTTGTTCCCTTGGCACAGAGCCAAGGTGTGCCCCCCAGCGGCAGCGGCGCCAGGACTAGTGGCTGCCGGCAGGCTGTGGTCGTCCAGGAGGACGGCCGCAGAGACAAACTCCCGGTGCCTTTGAGAGACACCAAGTTGCTCTCGCCGCTCAGGGACCCTCCTCTCCCACAAAGCCTGATGGTGAAGATCACCTTGGACCTTCTTACACGCATACCCCACCCGCCTGGCAAGGGCAGCCGCCAAAAGAAACCCGAGGACAAACAGCTGCCTGCTGGGAGGAAGCAAGACTCCGAGAAGAAAAGCTCCGACCCCTCTTGCAAGTTGGCCAAAAAGAGGAAGGTGAGTGTGGGCAGCCCAGCCTCCCGCCCAGTGCTGGAGGCCCTGTGTGGACTTTGCGCTGTCTGTGCTTGGTGCTTGATTTAAACCTGGCTCAGAGCTGTCTTTGAAGAGCCTGGAAATCTTTGTTTCCGGGAGATGGCGGAGTGTGCGCCTTCTCCCCTGGTGACTGTGTGGTCCTGGGTGCTTGCCATCCTGCAGATGCAGGTGAGCAAAGTGCTAGGTCCCTCAGCTGTCTGCTAGGTTGGATTCTGCGAGGCAGTCATTGGGAAGGGCAGCTTCTCCAGGGACACTGTCACTGTTCTGGGTACAGTTTTGTGAATGCTGGAAACATTGGTATTTACCCATTAGCCCATTAGGTTTTGCCCTAAAAATGAAGACCTTACATGAATTGAAGTGTTAATCTGAATAACTTAAAGAACTGTTCTATACAAGTTTCATTCCTCTAGTATCATCTTTTTAAGTACTAATATTGCATCCATGTTTTATCTCATGACCATGAAGCACCTCATTAGAGCTATAAAATGTATGTTAGTGTATGTTGTGAAGTAATACAGGCAGTATGCTCCATTGCAAAGTGTGGGACATCTGTCATTTATTACAATTTTTTGGAAGTTTCACTTAAGGAATGGACATAGTAAAGAAAAAATGTCCTGTAGTATTTAAACCTTCTAGCACATGGGTGTAGCTCTGTTTGGACATTCTGCTTCCTCCCCTTAATCTGAAGCACTGAGCTCTTGATCTATTTGTGCTTCTTCATATGGAGGATTAGTGAGTTGCTCCCCAGTGGCTTTCCCAAGCCAGCCTGCCCGTTATTCAGAGCCGATGGGCCAGTACTCTGAATACAATTTTTAACACTCTTATAAGTCTATGAAAAGCTTCTTAGGCCGCTGTGGAAGTTTAAACTTGGAATAGCGAAGGGAAAGTGATCCTAAGTCCGTCACCTCTGAGAAGGGAGTGAAGGGTGGCCGTTTTCTCGTGAGCCTTGTCGCAGGAGACACGAGGGTGTGATAGCCACACCTCTGCAGCAGGCACACCAAGGAGTGGGATCACACGCTACTGGGTGAGGTAGGAGAAGGCGAGTGAGTGAGTGAGTGAGTGAGTTTCTGTATAGAGTACAAAACTTTATGGGTAAAACTGTGATGGACCTGGTGAGGAAACCTAACCTGTGTTTAACGTGCGCAAAGAAATGTCAAACAGACCCATACACTCGCTCACTGCCTGTGCCTCCCAGCTGCCGCAGTCTGACGTGGTCTCCAGGGCTGGCCTCCTGAAATTGCTGGGAAGTACTGACTTCTGAAATGCTTACTTACCAAGTAGAAATGTTTAGAAATCGGAAGATGTCCTGGAGAGTTACTGAGCCCAGTCCCTCCCCCTCTTCCCACCCCGTGCAACTATCCAAGTGTTGCTTATGGCTCTAGAAAGGGAAACTCCTAGCTCTCCCTGTTGTCTCTAAGAACTGGGCCCTTTAAAAGCCATTCCCAGGTTTCTGCTGAGCTCTGCCAGGGCAGGTATTTATCTCTGTGTTTACAGCATGGAGAAATAATGCTTGCTTCCTCTCTCTGCAAGCAGCTGGGCGATCTGGCCCGGGACACAGTCTGAGGACATGGGACCAATGGGATTGGAGTCTGGCTTTTGGTTCCAAACATCTGCTGTATTATGGTCACCTGGAGAGCCTAGGCACTGATGGCAAAATATAGGCATGCCCTTCCCACCCGTCTTGGTATTTCTGAAATTCTCTAGGCGGTCCTAAGGCCTAGCAGGGCTGGGAAGCACTGCAGTGGAACCTCATTACAGGGCCGGATCATGCAAGAAGCAATCTTTGCGGGGTGGGGTCCAGAATTCCTCAGGTGTGCTGCAATCATGTATCCAGGCAACCAGGAATTCCCTGTCTGAATTATACCTTTAGTTAAAACATTTCTTAGAAGCTTCCAAATGAATATGAGAACCGGTCAGCTGACGCTAATTTCACGAGCAGGGACTCACATGTTTTTTGTTTGTGTGTGTTTGTTTTGTTTTCATTCTTCCTCTTCCTGCTGGATTCCAGGTGAGGAATAGTGAACGCACTGATTCTGAGCCCTTCCCTGTCTGCCTCTCCTCATCAGTAGCCCTGTTGCTTGTTCAGGCCTCCTGGGCTCCAGCCCTCTGACATGTGTGATGTCTCCAGTGGGCAACCTCGCAGGGGTCGTGGCCCTCCGTGGCGGAGGCAGAGCTGTGATCTTTTTAAAGCTTGGATACTTTCCCTGAAGTTTGATAGTGAGGATTTCTTTCACTTCATTTTGAGTGTGTAAACAAAATTCTCTCAGGATACAGGGAGACCTTCAGGAGTGTGCTTGATTCTTCACATGAATGAAACTTAGTGTTTTCATTTAAAGACTTTGTAGTCTTGTCCCTCTCCTGGTACAAAACTTAACAGATATTTTCAAAGGGTTTAAATAGCCTTGGAGTAATTTTTGACTGAAAAGCATGTGGTGAAAATTGCAATGGTGTATAGTTGTCTTTTTTTTTTTTTTGGAATTATTTTATTTATTTGAAAGACAGAGTTACACAGAGAGGTAGAGTCAGAGAGAGAAGTCTTCCATTCCTCTGGTTCACTCCCCAAATGACTGCAATGGCCAGAGCTGCACCAATCCGAAGCCAGGAGCCAGGAGCTTCTTCCGAGTCTCCCATGTGGGTGCAGGGGCCCAGGGACGTGGGCCATCTTCTGCTTTCCCAGGCCATTAGCAGAGAGCTGGATCAGAAGAGGAGCAGCTGGGACTAGAACTGGCGCCCATATGGGATGCTAGCACTGCAGACTAGGGCTGTAACCCACTGCACCACAATACCAGCCCTGGTATATAGTCTTAAACTTGCATAGTGCTCCTTATGTAAAACACTAAATTGTATTGATCTTATTGGAATTTATAATTCCAACTTTATTTTATTTATGTAATTGTTAAATTTCCAAATTTGAAAGAAATGTTGATGTTGAGGGTCACAATATAGTACACAGTCAGACTGGTGCCACTTGCGAGCATTCTAAAATGACCCTGACATGCCCCAAGCTGCATGTGGGAGCTGTGTGGCCTTCCAGGCGTTGTTGCATATAATATACATTTCAAATAAATGCATAGTCTGTCTTGAAAACCACTTAGATAAATAACTGAACAAAACGTACATCCCAGTCTTTCATTTTTCTAAATTACTTGTTTTACTGACCAAGACACTTTAACATTTTGAAGAGCAAATGTCAGTGCCCTCGCTTCTGCCTGTGCTCTGGAGTGAGGAGGGAAGTTACGGTGCAGATGGGAAAATGCCCCTCCTGCCTGGTGGGGGCGCTCGCTTCTGTCTTTCCTTCCATCCAAGATCCCACTGTCTCTTTGGGGATGGTTTCTCCAAATCAGTAGCCCCCGTCATTACCCATCAAAACACTAGGGCTTGAGAGTGAGTCCCTTGTAATTTCCTAAAGCCCTTAGATCCAGTGTCGTCAGGCCTGGTGGCTCCCCTGGGAAGGGCATCGCTGCTACGTGCACACCGCAGCTAAGGCTGTTTTCGGGCATCCTGATTCCTGAGTCCCTCACTGAGGAGGAGAAACACGGACTGGCCTTCCCTTCCCGTGGACACATGCTGCCTTTCCAGGAATCCCGGCCCCTGCGCTTGGTGCATGCTTGGACTGGCTGTCCCACGTGTCTGTTCCTTACTGAAGCTCCTTCGCTGGCACAGCTCAGGGATGTACCCGAATTTCCCAGAAGGCTGATTTTCTGGTTGTCTTACGCTCAGAAGTTCTCAAGCTCATTAGCTTCTCTCTGGGGAAGACAATAGAGTCTCAGACTGTGCGTGTTAAAAGAATCTTAGCTGAGAGTGGTTCAGCCACTGCCTTTTATAGATGAGATCCAGAAGGTCCAAGCGTGCCTTCTCCCAGCCCAGCGAGCTTTCCCATGTGTTCTGCATGCAAGGCAGAAGGTCAGAGTTCAAGACTGGGTTCTGACGGGCAGTTGTGGTGTCCTTCCGGGCTCTGTTTCTCCCTTGCCTCCAGCCTACCCCCACACAGTCCTCCTCTACTTTCATTTCCCTTTCAGACGCTCCCGCCTTCTCCTCCTCCCTCCCAGCAATCCCACCCCTATCACAAAGGTGCTGTGGACAATACCTTTCATTCAGTTAGAAAAATCTGTGGCCCAAAGTAAGTATCAGATGTGGAAGAAGCCACCTTCATTTTCCCCTGCTAGCTATAAGCAGCTGTCTGGGGTTGAACCCGTGCTGGGGTGGGTCTCAGGCTGCCTTGGAGGCATCTCCCTACAGGCCAGCTAGGCCTGGAAGGGGCCCCTCTCTTCCTTTTATGGTCTTTGTTCCTGCCCTTTTGCTGGGCTCTGTAGGTGGAGCAGCATTTGGCAAATGGTCCGTGGCTGCCTGACCCAACAGGTTAAGAAGAGCAAACAAGTCGGTTAGGCCCAGATCAGCAGCCGGCAGCCTCGTTTTGTGGTTGGTGCAGGTATCACTGAGGCTTATCCTTATGAATAAAGAATTTCTGAAACCCAGGCTTTAGACCGGATTCCCTGAGGTGGGGGTGACCTGGGGATAAGTCACAAAGCAAAGGGACATCTTTTTCCTCATGAGGAAAGAGTGCATGGCTCTCATAAGGTTTTCCCATGGCTTTAGACCACTGTGCCTCTTATTTTTCAGGGGCCTTGTTCTTAGAATTCAAATCTGCCTTTCCTGTCACCCAGTAGTGTGTGGCTTTCACTTTATGGCCCTGTCCTAAGGCCTTCCACTGAAAGCTGCAGTGTGGCCCTGCTTCCAGGGCCCTCAGCTGCTAAGGTTGATTTCTGTGCCAACGGACAGAGCCTGAGTGCCTGCCCTGGGGAAGCCTCAGTGTCTGTTCCAGACAGGCGATGACAGGGTTCCAGCTGCACAGTGTGCAAAACAAATCCTGCACTCGAGCCCGCAGGGCTGCCTCCCAGGGTGATGCGTAATCGGCACAAGGGCACGCTGGCTTGATTGAATATGATGGTTTCCTTTCTACTAGCTTCTAGAACATTATCTGCTCCCAAGTTGTTAGGTATCAGCATAAAGCACATTCTTTCCGTAAGTGCCAACCCTCTCATTAAAGCCAGAGTGGCAGGCAGTGTCTGGTGGTTTCTTGTCTGTTGCTGGCTGTTCTCTCAGGTCGCTGGATTGGCACAGGCCAGTCATAACCGGTTTGTGAGGGCTGACTCACTGTGAACCTTATTTGCATGTGTGGTTTACAAGGTCTGCCACTTGGGTTTATAGCCGTAACGAGCATGTCCTAAGCAACATGAAATACACAAACAAAAATTACCTCTCATTCTGCCTGTGGACTTGGTGGTTTTCTTTACAAAATGACCTTGTGGATGATGTATTCTCAGTTTTGCCTTGGGGCCCACTGTGTGTCGTGAAACTGCTGCAGACTCCTCCTAGTGAAAGCCTATTTTACTGCCTCAAGTACAAGCTCACAGCCATGTGGATATTTTAGCTAATTTTGACTTTTCTGAAACTCAGATGTCCCATCTTCCAGCATAGTTTGTTTGCCAGGCTAGGTGTCCAGCCTTTAATCAAAAACTTAATTCACTGAGCCCTTGAGTGCCAGGGTACACTGGGCATGGTTATGGGGATTACCATGCAGTAGTAAGGTTCCTGTTGAAGCCCATCATTTTCATCTGATTTGTTTTTTCTCCCTCACCATTCCACTCCAGTGCTGGACCCATGAGTTGGGGAGCAGAGGGCTGTGTGCTGGGCAGAGCCCATCACAGTGGTCCTGCAAGCTTCTCACAGCATGTCCCCGCACCTTTCACTTCTGAATTGTGCGCCTGGAGAAACAGCTGTGTGCAATTTCCTGTTGTATTTTAGTTGTGGGTTTAGGACACGCTTACTTACCTCACATGTTACCTCCTTATTAGATTCCTCAAGATACGTTTTCCCTCGTTTCCTATAATGAGTGGTTATGTTTCTGAGTAACTGATTTTTTGTATTATCCACTTATATATGAATTATTCCATCTTTGCATTGGGTTAGTGGAAGTTCAGAGCCCAATTTGCAGATCAACTTAAGTTGTGGAGAACAGAGTTGTTCAGTAGAAATACAATGTGAGCCACATCTGTAATTCTGAATGTTTTCTGGGAGAAGAAAACTACTAGTAATAATTTCAGAAGTAATTTTACTTAGTTTCTAAAATATCTCTTCAATCAGACTGCTGGTTTCAAGTCCTGGTTCTGCCTATCATTCCAGCCTCCTGCTAATCCAAACCCCAGGAGGCAGCAGGTGGTGCTTGGGTCCCTACCATCCACATGGGGGACCCAGATTGAGTTCCTGGTTTCCACCTGGTCCAGACCAAGCTGTGGTGGACATTTGAGGAGTGATGGACGATCTTGTCTCTATCCGTGTCTGTCTGTCAGATAGATAGAAATAATAAATACATGAATAGCAAATGAAAAACATATCACTTCAACATTTAATCAGAATAAATATTGGGGTTGGACTTTTGGCCTAAGTGATTATGTAGAATTGGATTCCTGCCATCCACATAGGAGACTGAGTTCCTGGTTCTGGCTCAACCCCAACTGTTGTGAACATTTGTAGAGTGAGCCATCGAGTGCTGTCTCTCTTTTATTTATTTTCATCTTAATTGAAGGAGAAAGAGAGAGAGATCTCCTGTCAACTGGTTCAATCTTCAAATGCCTACAATAGGCAGGGCTGGGCCAATCCAAAGCTAGGAGCCGGATACTCAACTGGGGTCTGGCGCCAAAGCTAGGAACCAGGTACTCAACCTGTGGGTGACAGGCCAAAGTCCTTGAACCATCTGTGTCTTTCCAGGGTGCACATTAGCAGAGCTGGAATTGAGAGTGGAACAGAGGCTCAAATCCAGGCACTCTGGTTTGGGGTACAGTTGTCCCAAGCCTATACATCTTAACTTATTCCATTTCCTTGGAGAAACACAGAGCTCAGAGAGGAGGACGTGGTAAAAACTGAGGCCTCTCACCATCAGTGAATTTGAAGACTGAGTTTGCCTTTATAGCTTAAGAGAGGATTTTAGATTTGTTAGGGATCTAGGGATCAGTCCTAGATTGACCGGCGGCGTCCCGCTTTCTAGCTCTGGAGTCTCATTCTAAATGCGCATGAGAGCTAAGTGAAGGCCTGCCCCCTGCCCCTTCACTGCCACCAGCCAGAGAGGAGGTGGGCTCTTCCCTCCAGAACCCAGACCAGTGCAAGGAGCCAGCCCCCTGCCCCTTCACTGCCACCAGCCAGAGAGAAGGTGGGCTCTTCCTTCCAGAACCCAGACCAGTGCAAGGAGCCAGCGTGGGGTCTGTTAGATCTCTTGTAACGTTGACATGGATGGTGAAAAAGACTTTGGCCATGAAGAACTCATTGTTCTTTTTATTATTAAGTGCATTTATTTAGGGCTGTAGTTGGTATAAGTAGGTGTTTTTGAGGTACTTAAGTCCTGTTGTTACAGATTGCTTTCCTCTTCTTCATCCCATTAAAATCATATTTATAGCCCTTTGTTTATCCAGTAGTTTGAAAAATAAGACTGTATGTCTGTGTATATGTTGGGAGACATGTGAAAATGATGTGGGGCCGGGTGGAGGGGGAGGAGGAAGAATCCCAGAGAGGCTGTTTTTATCTGGTGTGCCTTTGCAGGCTTTTCTGTAAGATGTCCAGAGGATTTTGTAGCCTCTTTTCCAGGAATATACTTACTTCTAGTGAAAAATGAGCTTTCAGTAGTCCACTTTGATATGATACAAGCAGTAACTTGGTGGGTGTAAGTGCATGGCTCTTGAAAGAAGCAGGGCAAGGGGTGACCTCAGGTGTGATGCGTGTTACTTGAAAAGCATCTTGGTGTTCTGTTGATTCCTTCACGTGTGGAAAGCCATCAGTGATGTGACAGTGTCTGCTTTCTTGTCAGCTGTTGTTTTTGACGCCCACCGTCCTCAGCCCGGGCAAGTCTTTCCACATGGACTGTCCATCCCACCCCTAATCTCACACTCCCACTGAGTACTGATGATAAGGTTGCTGCGTGTACATGGACATCTCCAAAAACCAAAAGGACTCTCTTTGCCTTTTCAGTTTTCTATTTTGCCTATGCAGTTACGCTTGTAACACTCTTTGCTTATTATACCATAATAATAGGGCGAAGCAGAAAAAGACTACGATAACAAGAGAATCAGACTGGAGAAAGAAGTCAAACCCCAGTCCTCTTCATCCTCATCCTCCCACAGAGAATCTTCTAAAACAAAGTGAGTATCTAGGTGAGGGGCAGCCCCACAAGGCTGTAATCTTCTCAGGTCCTGACACGGGGAAGTTTGTCTTCTACAGTAAAGTCGATAGTTTAATAAATTCATTCTGGCCCATTTTGGGGATGGGCTAAGTGTGTTTCATGGTTTGTTTTTTTTTTTTTTTTTTTAATATTTATTTATTTTACTTGAAAGAGTTACACAGAGAGAAGAGAGGCAGAGAGAGGGAGAGAGGTCTTCCATCTGCTGGTTCATTCCCCAGTTGGCCGCAATGGCCGGAGCTGTGCTAATCTGAAGCCAGGAGCTTCTTCCGGGTCTCCCAAGCGGGTTCAGAGGCCCAAGGACCTGGGCCATTTTCTACTGCTATCCCAGGCCATAGCAGAGAGCTAGATGGGAAGTGGAGCAGCCAGTCTTGAACTGGCACCCATATGGGATGCTGGGCTTCAGGCCAGGGCATTAACCTGCTGCGCCACAGCACCAGCCCCCTCGTGTTGTTTTCATCCATGAGGACCTTATGGGAATCAGTTCATTTGGCATCAGATTTAGGGATCTTATAAGCATTTTCACTATGAAAAATTTCCTAAACATCTGGGATCTTTTTTCTAAAGGAAAATTAAAAAATAAACACACTGTTATGCTTTCTTTGAAGACTTGGAAACAGAGGCACGAAGAAAGAAAATGTCTTGTCCAAGGTTGCAGGTTCTCTCTGATTGCTGAAGCCAAGATCGGACTTCAGGAGTCCAAGTCTAGCGCTTGCTCTTTCAGAGTTAAGACTTTACAGGACATGCGGTGTCTGCTGCGAGCTGAGGGGTAGCTGTCATTTACTCTGGTATTTGTTTGGAAAATTGCTTCCCAAGATGATCTGGCAAAAACAAGTGCATAGTGTTACCATGTGGAAGCCAACAGAGATGAGAGGGGGAGAGAGAGACCAAAGTGTCAGATGCAGAGATGTCGCCGAGCCTGCCTGCTTGTCAGAGGACAAAGCTCCAAGTTGAGGGGTAGCTGAGGCCAGAGTTGGGGCCGGTTAGCACTGCTGGCAGAGTCTGCAAGCTTCCTGAGAAATCAGGCAGCTTGGTTTTTGCTAATGAATAGGGCTACATTTGTCAAAGGCACCAGAAGTCCTGAAATTGGACCTTCTTACATGCTTTCCTGCTGTGTGACCTTCAACCTTTCATGCCAGCAGCCATCTTGTCCTTTTATAACTAGAGCACTGAGCTGTGTGATTTGTGTTCTGCCTCAACTTACCTTTGTGTGATGCTTTGCTCCAGGATACCCAGGCCCTCCTCAGAGCCCTCAAAGAAGGAGATGCCTCCCCCTCCACCTGTGTCCTCGTCCTCCTCGTCCTCGTCTTCTTCTTCCTCCTCCTCCTCCTCCTCCCAGAAGCCAACGAAGCCTGCACACAAGAGGTCCAGGCAGGAAGCAGACAGCTGTGGCTCAGACCCTCACAAAAGTGCCAGTAGTACCAAGAGCAGCCATAAAGACTCTTCCGTCGTCAAGCACAGAAAAGTACCGGGGAAGGGCTGTGGAGGCGCTGTGGAGCACAAGGTGAGCGGGGCGTGCGCTGGGCGGGAATGGGGCAGCCTGGCTGTCTGTTCGTCAAGTTCTCAAATAAGGTTGGTTCCTAGTGATGGTCCAGCAGAGCTGTCCCTCCCTTTAATAAGGCAGGACTGCCTTGTTTGTGTTTAAAAGTTTCACTTTTTGGAGGGAAAGTCAAATGTAGTTAATATGACTTAAAAAATGGAGGTCATTTCCTAAAATGATTTAGTGGTAAAAAGGTGGACTAGATTTGTGTACTGATCTGTCAGGTGCTGTGCCCGCTTTACATGATCTCGGAGTCTGTGTTAGCAGTCACAGCGGAAACCAATAACCCCTTTTGTTAACTGGGGGTGGGGTGTTGCCCGAGAAGCGTCCCCTCCTCTCAGGGACATTCTTGACTTCATGTCTGTCCGAGTCCGCAGTAAGATGAGAGCGTGGCTGCCGTTGGCCTGGCTGGGCGCGCGTTTGGCCGCACTGCACCGGGCAGCGCCTAATGCGCTGCTCTCTGAACTCCTGCGTTGGGCCCTCACGGGGACGGCACTTTGAGGACAGTGATCTCATAGGTCAGAGTGTAATCCGAGGAATGGTTTTTCACAGGGAGCTTCTGGGGATGCTGCGAATCCCTTCCCCGTGCCTTCTTTGCCAAATGGTAACTCTAAACCAGGGAGGCCTCAAGTGAAGCGCAACAGGTACCACTGCGGGTGCTTCCCCCGGCCTCTCTCTCCCATCACCTGCCCCCCTGCCCCCCGCCCCACCCACGCCCTTCTGTCCTCACTGACCCTCTCCGCACCCCCGCCCGGCCCCCTTGGCATCTTTCGCTATCTGCCTGCACCTAGTAATTTCAGATCCACCCTTCCTTTTTCCTTTTTCAGACAACAAGCTGATTTTCACATGAAGGAAGCCAAAAAGTTGAAGGACAAAGCAGAGACAATGGTCAGTCATGGCTCTTTACCCCTCGGGTAGAATGCTTTCTAATTAAATATGGGGGGTGGGGGCCTACAGCGTAAGGAGGACAACCGGGATCTTGGTGACCAAGCAGTAAGAGGTCTTTTTGTGGAGTTCTTTTTAGGCTCCATTGATTGTCTGACCGTGGGCAGTTATGCCAAGTGTCTTGTCACAACTTTTGTATCTAAACACGTGGAAGTAATCCACCTGGTGATTTTATACCTGAGTGCATTTTGTCGAATGTGGTAGTGAGTTCTGCTGGTTGAGTCAATTTGTGTTCAACCTGAAACACTTCACCAATCAAGGAAATCTGTTTGCACCCCAAAACTCTCTTCACAACCTCGAGAGACTAACCTGAAGACCTTTGTTAGTTGAAATTTGAAGTTGAAGCTGATGATTGCACTGTTGGTAAACATGCTTTTGAACTTTCTGGAAGGTGAAGATTTTCTTGTTAATTGTAGACATAATTAAGTGTGCATTTACATCTGTCCTGTAGTATGATGAGATCATGCCTACCCTTTGTTTACTTAAACATCTACAGCTCTGGGGCTTTTATGTACTGGACGTCTTCCCCAAACCTAATCCCCTGCAGATGTGCCATACTCCCTGGAAAGCTGTGTGTGGGACTTCGGTCCCACGGGAGGGAGGCGCTGATTCCCTTTTTCTCCCACATACCAACCTCGCCAGGTGTTCTGGAGCGCTCCCCCTCTGCAATCCCCAGATGTCACTACCTGTGGTGCTCTGTGGAGATCCTGGCCTGGGACGCCTCAGCGATCTGCGGTGATGCCCCTGTTTTCAGACAGGCTTAGGAGGGGTGAACTGAGACCCTTCAGGTCCGCATCATTGAGCAGAAGGCTTACTGATAGCCTGCCATGCTGCATGCTATAGAGGGGTACAGGAAATAATCCACTCTAGGCCTCTTCCAAAAGCTACCCTGTACCTGAATGACCTCCGTCAGATTAAGACTGCTCCAAGCAATGGCACACTTAACTCCACCCTTCCAACGGTGCAAGATCGTCTTTGGAACGTATAAGTTGTTGGAACTGAGTATATATTGAGCACTGTAAGTCAGTTATCTAAGATTTTGTCATGGGACTTTCAGCAGTAGATACCCTCATTGTTCAAACATGTAAGGTTAGCTCCAGGGAACTTTCTTTTGTTTTTAACCCATACATATGCGTATTGCCCAAAGAGGCTATACAAACCAGTGTACCAGAATGGCCCTGGTTTCAAGTTGGTGGCATCCCATTTAATAAGAAATTATCAAACTGCTTTTTAAAGTTTATGGAAAGTGAAATCAAAGTTTGTTGTTTCGGTGTAAAATTTTTTGAAAGCCGTGCTTAGTTTTTTCCTAATACATAATTTTCCATTAAGACTCCTCATATACCCCTCTGTGCTCTTAAAACATGCGAGTTTGGGTAATAACCCTGTGGCCCGCCTTTTCCATAGTAGTCCCCTTAATTGTATAGTGTCTCCAAAGAGGTACATTTTGCATTTCAGATGGCACACCACCAAGAACAGAGGACTGTATTTCCAGGTTATGTTCATTGTTGAGTAGAGACATTAGAACCCCACTATTTTGGCACTATTTCAGGAGATATACAGATTTGTCACAAGATTATTATCATTGGTAGCTTTATAAAATACTTACATCTCTAGAAAGTGGAGATAGTCAAATTGCCACGGTACATTGCAGTTTCTTTGGTTTCTGCCTTAAGGCTAATATTTATTTTGAAAATTCTGCAAAAGATGGTCTTAGATAAGCAAATTTGAAGGATTGGATTCCCATTAGTGAGGCAATCCAATTGTGTCCTATACTGCTGATTAACTGGGGCATGTTAATTTGATTTTTATTCTTTCTGTCACTAATCTTCTGAGCCTGAGTTCTCTTAAAAAAATTTTTTTTTTGAATTAAGTTGTTTAGGGGCTGGAGTGTAGCACTACAGGTAAGATAGCAGTTGGTACAACTGCATCTCATATCCGAGTGCTTGGGTTTGAATCCTGGCTCCATTCGTAGCTGTCTGCTCTGGATTCAGTTCCCACTCCTGGTCATTTGGGGAGTGAGCCATTCAGTGAGAGATCTCTCTCTGTCTCTTGGCCTCTCAAACTATTTTTTATATTTAAAAATATTTGAAATGCATGCATAGCTTTTCAAATACACATTTCCATGAATGTTTGAAGATCCCACATTAGGGGTGTATATTCAGCAGCCCCATTCACCCCATTCCCTTAAAGTACAGGAGCAGGATGCATGCCGGTGATTATTGTCAGCTTGCCAAAGGGAAGAATTTTCTCTGCTTCTCTCCTGTGAACTGTAAATTAACTTGCAGCCTCAACCATCTCTTGGCTGACCTGTCACCATCTCCTTATAGTCTACTTAACATCTTTACTGTTTTCATCCTTTTTGAACGTATCAAATTGACAGCACCAGCAGAAAATACAGGCTTATGTGTTTTGTGTTAATCAGTTGCTCTCACATATAGAGAAAAGTGAGTTGCACATTATAGCTGATCTCATTCATTGAACTAGTCATTTGTCTTCAGTGAGAAGCATATTAAGTGTTCAAATGTGTATTCCAGTTTAAGGTGACCACAGTATCTGATTTCACTGAAACTATATCCCTTGGCCCAGGGGGGATAGCCTTGACTAAACTTAGACACCAAAGGAGATTAATGTGTGAGGTCTCAAATGCATTAAAAGGTGGCTGTTAGGTCTTTTATCTGAGCTGCTCAGAAAACATACTGCGCTGGATGTGCAGAACAATCTCTTTCTCAAGAAAGTTATAGACTATGTGAATGCATGGTACTGTCTGGGGGACTGTTGTGCTTATTAATGCTTTACTTCCATAAGGTATCTTGTCTATTTGGTAGGGTTTTTTTTTTTTTTTTTTTAAGATTTTTATTTATTTATTTATTTGAGAGGTTAGAGCTACAGAGAGGGAGACACAGAGAAAGGTCTTCTATCTCACTCCCCAAATGGCTGCAAGGGCCAAAGCTGGTCAATCCAAAGTCAAGAGCAAAGGGCAAGCCAGTGCTGTGGCTCACTAGGCTAATCCTCCACCTATAGCGCCGGCATACCAGGTTCTAGTCCCAGTTGGGGCGCCGGATTCTGTCCCGGTTGCTCCTCTTCCAGTCCAGCTCTCTGCTGTGGCCCGGGAGTGCAGTAAAGGATGGCCCAAGTGCTTGAGCCCTGCACCCGCATGGGAGACCAGGAGGAAGCACCTGGCTCCTGGCGCAGCACGCTGGCAGTGGCGGCCATTTGGGGGGGTGAAGCAACAGAAAAGGAAGACCCTTCTCTCTGCCTCTCTCTCTCTCACTAACTCTGCCTGTCAAAAAAAAAAAAAAAAAAAAAAAAAAAACCTCGAAGGGCTTCATCCAAGTCTCCCACGTGGGTGCAGGGGCCCAAGCATTTTGACCATATTCTACTGCTCTCTCAGGCCATTAGTAGGGAGCTGGATCGGAAGAGGAGCAGCCGGGAGGTAAACAGGTGGCAGCTTTACCTGCTCTGCCACAGTGCTGGCCCCTCTGTAAGGCTTTGAGAGAGTAGTCTTCATACAGGATTATTTTCCTTTTCCTAGTGAGTTTTTGCTAAGGGGCATGTGTGGGTAAGACAGAGCTAACGTACATTCTCACACTCTCTCGCCTCTGTTGAACTGAGCGCGTTGAGGGAGGCTGCAGTGAAGAATGGGGGGAAGCGTAGAAGAGCCGGGGGCCTGACAGTGCCCGTGTTCTTCTGCAGACTGACAAAGTTGGGAAAGCTTTCAAGTACCTGGAAGCCGTCTTGTCCTTCATCGAGTGCGGGATAGCCATGGAGTCGGAGAGCCCGGCGTGCAAGGCCGCCTACGCCGTCTACTCCGACACCGCAGAGCTCCTCAAGTGAGTGCGTCTCCCGCACCTCTCCCCTCACCCTCCTCGCTCTAACCTGTTTAGCGTGAGGACAGCTCAGTCACTCGAAGCTGTTGCTGCCTAAAATCGTGTCCTAGAAGAGGAGCTAGCTCAGGACAACCCTTCCACCTGCGGGCTCGGTGGAAGCCACGTCTTCCTTCCTGTGCAGCTCCACACTCTTCCGGAGCTGCCCTCCTCGCCTTTCCCCAAAGGCCTTCGCCATCGTTCCGAGGCCTTGGCTTTTTGTATCTCATTCTCCTTCTAGGCTTCACGTCTTCAGGAAAGACCAGCGTAGATAACTGAGACAAGCTTAGCTAGATGTATTTGTGCCTAGGATTTTCATCTAACCACATGTACTTTCTTGTTTTCCTGTAGGTTCATAATGTCATTAAAATCCTTTTCAAGTGCCACAACCCAAGAGAAAATATTTGCTGTTTTATGGTGCGTATTTTTGCTTTACCTAATTAACGATGTCTCAGTGTTTTTGTGTCTTTTGATGAAACAAAAGTATCTAAAATTTGTTTTCATGATGTGGAAGTTATGGGAGGCAAACTCGTAGTTTGCTCAAGGGCTTAGTGCCACTGAGAGTTAATGATTATGAAGTAGTCTCTGCTGCCATTTCACTGATGGCTTGATAAGTAAGTCCCTTGCTCTTGTTATTTAAACGATGTCTGTGTATTCCTGTTTTTCCTCTAGTTTATGTGTCTGAGCAGCGTAGTAAAGATTCTTGAGATATACTTCCTCATGCAGATGAGGAAAATCCGGTGTATTTATTAGGCTGTAAGAGGTTGGGTGACCATGGGTAATAAGAACTTGATTTTAACTTCTGTTTCTGCTCACAGCATGCGTTGCCAGTCCATTTTGAATATGGCAATGTTTCGGTGTAAAAAAGACATAGCAATAAAGTATTCCCGTACTCTCAACGAACACTTTTGCACCAGTTCTTCCAAAGTTGCCCAAGCACCTTCTCCATGCATCGCAAGGTAATCAAGTCTCATTTAAATAACTTCCAAAATTGAGTCCGTTCTTTATTTCTTGCTTTCACAATCACTTGTAGATGTGGGGGCACTTCAAAAAGTTCTTGGAAAATGAGAATAAAAGATGTATTTGTGGTGGGCATTGTGGCATAGCAGCTAAAGCTGCTGCGAGATGCCCACATCCCACCTAGGAACGTCTGGTTCAAGCCTGGGTACTCCGTGCTGCCGAGCCAGCTTCCTGCTCATGGGCCTAGGAGGTAGCTAAAGGAGGCCCAATTCCTAGGGTTCCCTGCCACCCATGTTGGATTCCTGAATAGAGTTCCTGGCTCCTGGCTTCAGGCTGGCCTAGATCCTCGCTGTTACAGGCATTTGGGAAATGAACTAGTGGATGGAAGATTGATAGATCTCTTTCTCTCTTAATTTACTTTTCAGATAAATAAATCTTTTTTCTAAAACAAGCAAACAAAAACTTTATTTGACGCAAACAGCATGCATTGGATCTGTAATCATCCATGTATTGTAACATGCATTTTCCATGAACTTTTTGAATATCCCTTGTATATGTATGTGACTTTGCCCTCTAAAAAATTATGTGCTTCATTTATGTATGCGCTTATTTGCTCTTTAGACTTAACATTAGCATCTTTTTGAGAAATAGCTATAAATCAAAGTTTTTGTTCATTGGATTTTATCATGGAGGTAACTGCAAAGAATAAGAGTTCACTTTGAGAGCTTTGGGGGTCTTTAGATAATGCCTAAGGTCACAAAACAGCCAGAGGCCAAGTCCACAGCTCCAGAGCCAAAGTCCTTCGCCCCTCATGTGACAGGTCTTCTTGGCATTTCAGTAAACAAGAGCTTTCCATAACTGCGTACCTTCCATCTCCAGAGTCCATACCAGGCACGCTCAGAGTGAATTAGCTGTAGCAAAATTGTTTTCCGCACTTTGTGAACTGAAGTTGTTCACGCATTATAATGCAGGATGTTGAAAAACCTAATCCTTGCCCAAGTTGTTTAAAATGCAGATGGAATTTCTTCCCTGTAGTGCCCGCCTCGCGTGTCCTTTAGTTTGCTCATGCTCCTTGTGAAGTGCCCAGCTCAGATAGATTTTGCTATCTGAAGACTTTCACGAGACTTTCACTGCCCCATTTCTAGCACACTCAGGAGAGGACACTCCCAGATGGCCTCTCTTGAAAACAGAATGTCCCATGGCCGGTGCCGTGGCTCACTAGGCTAATCCTCCACCTAGCGGCGCCGGCACACCGGGTTCTAGTCCCGGTTGGGGCGCCGGATTCTGTCCCGGTTGCCCCTCTTCCAGGCCAGCTCTCTGCTGTGGCCAGAGAGTGCAGTGGAGGATGGCCCAGGTGCTTGGGCCCTGCACCCCATGGGAGACCAGGAAAAGCACCTGCTCCTGGCTCCTGCCATCGGATCAGCGCGGTGCGCCGGCCGCAGCGGCCATTGGAGGGTGAACCAACGGCAAAAGGAAGACCTTTCTCTCTGTCTCTCTCTCTCACTGTCCACTCTGCCTGTCAAAAAAAAAAAAAAAAAAAAAGAAAAGAAAGAAAAAAAAGAAAAGAAAAAAAAAGAAAAGAAAACAGAATGTCCCGACTGGGAAGTAGCTTCTCACTGTGACCACTGTCACGGCTCCCACTTCTGAGACCGCTTGAAGCTAGTAGGGTGTTAGTCACATTGTTAGTCAGCTCCTTCGACCCTCGTCCCGCCTGTGTGTGCACACACGGAGCACCTTCTTCCCGCCAGCCCTGCGTGGCTACCGGGGACGCGGCAGGAAACAGCGCAGACAGGAATTGCTGCCCTGTAACGCTTCCTGCCTAGTCCCTAACGGTGCGTGTTCCGCTGGGCATCGGCCCGGGGCCAGTGGCGCATCACGAGGCCGCCGCCGCTGCTCCTGACGGTCCAGCCCTCCATCTCCTGGCCTTTTTCGTTTGTTTTTAATGGCTGTGTGACTTCATTTGCGTTTCTCATTCAGTCCACATGGAGACGCCTGTTATTTTGCACGTGGAGCTACTGAGCTGAGAGCACAGATGAGGTTGAGTCTCGGATACATGGCAGCTCCCTGCCCAGTTCATGCATTGATTCAGTGGTTGGTTGGTTGGTTTTAATCAAGAGCCCACTCTAATGTGCCAAGTGCCCATGAAACCAGGGTTAGTAAGGCTGGGTCTCTGCCTCCATGGTGTTGTGATCCAGAAAAAGGACTAGAAGATACATGCAAGAAGAGGGAGAAGTTCAAGCAGTGGCAGGAAGGAAGCTGTCACGTATGCACAGCGTCCTGAAGAGTGCCCGGGCCTGAGCCAGTGTTCACCAGGCAGCCCTGAATGGGGGAAAGCTTGAATGCAATACAGAGAGAACTTTCACTGGGCTAAGTTGGAATTGGGTGTGGGAAGGGGGAGGGAGTCCAAAGAGAAGAAGTAGACTGCAAATGGCGCAAGAAAGTGTGTTTGGGTACAGATGAACCTGTTAGGGTGTTTCTGTGACCTTGTAGGAATGCCTTCAGCAATGACTGGCATTTGGGGTTTATATGCTGAGCCTTTGTGACTTGGACTACAGTTCCAGAGACCAGAATATGTGATCTGGGGTCTAGGTGATTGACCAGTTCTCTCTCCTCTTCCACTTTGTAGAAGCACGGGCACACCATCCCCTCTTTCCCCAATGCCTTCTCCTGCCAGCTGTCTCGGGTCCCAGTCAAGTGCTGGCAGTGTGGGGAGCAGCGGGATGACTGCCACCGTCAGCACCCCGGTCACCATCCAGAACATGACATCGTCCTATGTCAGCATCACATCCCACATTCTCACCGCCTTTGATCTTTGGGAACAGGCTGAGGCCCTGGCAAGGAGGAATAAAGGTACATGGGGCTGTATGGTGGTAGTCACTGGAGCCTGGGGCCCGGAGAGAATAACACCATTGGTTTGGAAAGGAAATGTGTGCCCCTTGAGTTTTTTCAATTCTGCCTCATAACCTAATTGCAGTGCTCCCTTGAGCTCACTGGCATGGAGCTGGACTTGTGTGGCTGGATCTTAGCAAGGCCAAATGAGAGGCAGCTTTAGCCTCTAGCCCCTTCACAGTCCTGGTGCCCTTATTTCAGCCTGAGCCAAAAGGCTGGCTAAGGACAAGGCCAACATGTGGAAAGACACTGGCTGTTCTTGGGCTCAGCACATTTGAGACATGAAATAACCTAACTCAGATTCTGAGTTCAGTCATTCTTGAGTCTTATTTTGAGGAAGAGGCCCTTGGAAGTTCTAAGCTTTAGGAGCGGCAGAGCGTGCAGTTAGGGCGCCTGTCCATGACCTCTAAGGGAACGCTGTCGCATGTGGAGGCCAGCCTCGCAGGCCCCTGTGTAGCTGCTCCTGGTTGTCAGGGAGGCGGCAGCCAACCGGCTGCAGTCGCTTACTTTCTCCAGAGCCTCTTAGAGCTTCGTCTTTCTCAGCAAACTAACACTGGTTTTTACTTTGTATTCGCACATCCATTGGGCCAAAAGTATATGTGGAGTACTTTCTAAGTGCTAGCCATTGTGCTGGGCACTATGGATTCAGCGGGCAAGCCAGCCCGGCGCCTGCCCTTCTAATCTCCCGGGGCTGTGTGAGGACCTGGCAGGTGGTTACAGTTTTTTGCTGTTGGTTGAAGTATGTAATTTGGGGGGGATAGTTTCCGAGAGCTGGAATTGTTGTGTTTCCATTTTATCTGTGTGTGTGCAAACTTACTTACTTGGTTTTGGTTTGGTTTTATTTGTAGAATTTTTTGCTCAGCTCAGCACAAATGTGGGCACCTTGGCCCTCAACAGCAGTTTGGTGGATTTGGTGCACTATACAAGACAGGGTTTTCAACGACTCAAACAATTAACCAGAACACCTTAATGGAGGCCCAAGTTGACTCAATGCCTTGGAAACTTATTTGCACATTGGAAGCCTCACATCCAGTCTGGACATCTGTCTCATCAGGACGCCGAACTTAAAGCACCGTGACATGGCCAGGACATTTGTCCACGTAACCTCTCGAGACCTGTGTGATCATTAGTGGGACGCAATGGTTCTGCAGAAGCAGAGAGAGGAGGGCTGTCGGCCACAGAGATGATATTGCCTTTCCTAACTGAAGGACAGAAGTGCAATGTAGCCGATTGGGTGTAGGAGTGGTCTGGAGACATTTCTGTGTGAGTGTGATTTTTTTAAAAAGCCAGCAGGATGCAAGTTGCGAGTGAATCGAGGAGAAGCAGTCTCCACTCTGGAAGCAAACCCCATCATCTCAGTAGCCTCACTAGTCCATTCCCAGAAGGAAATTTTTTTTTAAACAATGAATTTTGGTGAAGGGCTTTGTGGATGATTTTTTTTAACGTTTTGGGGGAAATATTTGTTTAATACATTCTGATTGCCATCTGTAAACCATAATGTTGTGAAGGACTCCACTCTGCCCCTCTTTCTGCCAATGAATGGTGGTTTTGATAATACCAAGTATTGTCCTAATTTATAAAACTGAAGGCGGCCCCCCACCCAGTGGCCTTTAGTCCCACAGATTCACCACCAGTTGTGCTGCTTGTCAGCTGAGGTCAACGCCGTGGAGGGGGAGCCATCACAAGGTCGACAGAGACTGTGGAGGACGTGGCCCTGCCCCCTCCCTTCGGTGCAAGGGGCTGGCTAGCAAGGCGGTTGGCATTGGCCATCCTCTGAATGTCCAGCCTTGGGAAAGAAGGGAATCAACACTGATACCTGACCAGATGGAGGAAGTGCTTTTGTGTTGAAATAGAGCTGGAATTTGAGGTGCTGTGTGTGGTCTGCAGTAAATGTGGTAACTCTAATGTGTCTAACCAACTCAGAGTTTTGTTAGTGAACAAAGAAAAATGAAATCTACTTCTTAGAGAGGCTATATTTTTCTGCTACAAATTATTTTATATTTATAGCAAAACCAGACCTTCCAATCCCTTTACTGTCTAGGAAAATTAACTCCCTGAGAGGATGTGGAGATTTGGGGATTAATTGGACTTTTAAAAAATTGTCACCACATGCCTTCACTCCAGTGTTCTTGGTCAACTCGATTTGATTACGTTCAGGAGGAACTGTGGCCTTCCCAGACGCTATTGTCATACTGTGTGTGTTAAACCCAGTTCGTTCTGAATGGCATGGGCTGAAAGAACACAAGTAGAATTTCCTCATGCCCATAAGCACAGGTTTTCTTTTTCATTGAAACTTTGAAGGTGGTTGTTTTGAGTGCATTTATCTGAAAGCCAATTCTTTTTATCCCTTCTAGAAAGAGGTAGAATTTGCACATGTATTAAAACTGAGGAGTGTGTATTGTGTAACTGGTTAATTCTCCACCCCACTCTGACTCTCTTCATATTGTTTCCTACCAAGCATGTTTCACACTTGGATATTTATTTATTGTGAAGAAGGGAGAACCGTTTGTATTTATACTGAAGACTCCGAGGGTTCCCGTGGTGAATGTAAGAGCTTTGTTGGTAGTTTGGTGACTACACAAAGGGACGTGCAGAGGACGGGGCAGTGTGTGTCTGTCACAGTGTGAGCTGCTGGTGTGGGTGGAGCTCCTCCTCCGGCCTGTCTTTGCTGACGTGGTGGCTGAGGCCAGACCTCGATATGTGACCCTGACTGGCTCCTTTCATTTACTGATGCCGTGGAGCAAAGCAGTGTTCCTTTTCAGTGTATTCGTTCAGACAGACGATCTGGTGTTCAAAGGACAGTAACTGCCTGGCAGGGTGTGTGCTTACAGCGTTGTGCAGTCACCTCCACATGTGGGGCACAAGGCACCAGAATCAGGTGTATGCGATGATTCTAGCATCTTTCTTTCCTCCTCCTCCTGGGCTGTCCCCTCCCTGTGACCCCTGCCACTCCTGGGAACAAGCGCCTGTCAGCTCTGAAGGCTTAGGTGGCTCCCGTAGGTCCTCACCGATGCAGATCGCGCCAGAGCCGCGTTCCAGCAGCCGCGGTGCCACCCCACTGGAGCTACCTTCCAGTGGATTGATTAGCCAGTTCTAAAAGAACAAATTGCTTTCTCAGTGGCCTTTTTCTGAACTCTGTATTCAATTTTTATTTGTCCCTTTAAACTCTTAACATTTACATAGATCATCAGCTTGTACTCTTCTGGTCATTGGACATTTCTTACTCTTACTGCCACACTTACTGTACCCAAAAACAAGTTCCCCAGTGGCTACCTTTAAAGTGCAGTCTGCAAGAGGTAGTGGCTGATGAGTCCTTTTCGTTCATGTCTTTTCCCCCTGCTACAGTTGTGTACAGAAGTCTTAAGGACTTTTTAAATCATTTGCATTTTTCCACTTCACGCTTACAAGTTCCAAAGGCACAATTTGTACTGAGGTAGACAATTTGGAAAGATTAGAAAATAAAATGAAACCTTGGGACACGTGGAAATCTTGTCACAGTAGTAACAGTGCACATTTCAGAGTGACACACACACAAAACATCTGAAGGAATAAACACGGTGTGAATCTCCCCACTAGCACTACAGCAGTGTGTGTGTGTGTCTGTCTGTGTGTGTCTGTGTCTGTGTCTGTGTGTGTCTCTCTCTCCTCAAGAGGAGATGGAAGAATGCCGCTTGACTCTCTCCTGTCCTTTGTAAACTGTGAATGTGTGAATGTAAGAGCCCTGCCAAGTGACAGGCTCTCCGCACGACACGGGGTTCAGAGGCTACAAACCTAGGCCGTGTGTGGGTGCAGTCAGGGGCCCGGGACGCAGCTGGCAGGAGTGAATGACCACAGCAGAGCTTGGCCTCCTGGTATGATGACTGGATCATAAGACCAAGCGGGCAAAGCAAGCAAATGATTTTTTTTAAGCAAAAAGTTTATGGATTCTTTTAGCCAAAATTTATAGATATTTCTCCTAGACAAATTGGACCACACCTCGTTCCCTTGTTCTGTATTGTGTAACGCCAGATCTCAGGATGTTTAGATGCTAGCAAACTCTACCCCTTTCTGGCACAAGCTTGCCTTAAATTGATATCTTATATATTAACCGTAGTAAGGTCAGGAGCTTACTATTTTTATTATTATTCTTGTTAAGTGACTTTTGGAAAGAAAAAAACCATTTTGTCCTCCACAATGAACAAAATTTGTTTCAGATATATAAATATATATATACACACACACACACACGCATGCACCTAGAGATTGAATTGGGTTTATTCCTTACACCTTTGTTAAGCAAACCCAGTTTTCAAATTGTCCATGTGTGTTTTGCCATGGCTCCAGTAGGCGTGACGTGGGCCTTCACACCTTCTCGTCTGCTTTATGAAGTTTGCAGTGCATTTGTGCATCTCGCAGTAAATGAAATAAGGTTTGAGGTTGGACTTTTTTTAATGTACTTAAAAATGTCTCCCTGCCTCCTACCAGATTCTCGCTCCCTTTTTTCTTAGTGATTTTCTTAAACACTACAACACATCTTTGAAAAACATTGCCACTTCATCTGTGACACTCTTTACCAGTAACTAGCAGTATTTAAATCTTGAAAGAATATTTGGACTTCTTTGAGGGAACACAGAGTTACAGATTTGGGTGTGGGGACGGAAGCTCGTTCCCATCGCAGCTGTAGGGGCGGCCGGGATCCGGGACACAGGACTTGGGCTTTGTCTTCCTTTCTCTGGCAGTTGCCTCTCTGGCTTTTAGTCCCATTTAGAGTGAGTGGATGGGAGGTGTTTTCCCGTGTCTGTTTTGTTTTCTTTTCTTTTCGGCTCATCTTGCTGCGGGGAGGTGCGATGGCCAAACACAGTGATGTTGGAGAGTTCTTTCCAACGTGGCGGGTGGTATTTCTGTGGCGTGAATCTCAAGTGTGCAATCCAGATGTGTGCGTTTCTTGGTAACAGAGTACCCATCTCTTCATGAATCGTGAGCACTGAGCATGCCTTTTAGTTCTTATTTATGATGAACTGACAAATGCCAGCTACCACTATCCTTCAGGCAGCTGTCAGCTTCTCCTTGTTTTCCGGGAAGCCGCACTTCTGCACGTCAGACGTCAGTAGGTACCGCTATGGGCAGAGGAGCGTTCGCACGTCTCTACCTAAGAGGGAGCCCAAGAGGGCAGGAAGGAAACCCTACAGCTCGTCAGTGTCTGTTGAGACGCCGGCCTGGGAAGACCCCTGACAGGAGGCTGGCTGAGCTGCCCTGCGCTGCAGGCGGTGGCTGCCCCAAGCCCGAGAACTTGCTTTGCAGAAGAGTAGATGCTGAAGTATGCTCAGCACAGGCAGTATTAACTTTGCTTTTTGTCCGGCCATCAGCACGTGGTGTTAAAATTTCTGTACATCCTCCCTCAGATACCAAGAATACACTGTCCATGCTGGGGTGTGTGTGCGTGTACGTGTGTCTCCCAAATCTTGGTGTGTCCCCCCCCCCCTTTTTTTTTTCTGAATGTGATCATGTTTTGGATGATACCTGAGCAGGGTTGCCTTTTTTTATTTATTACCATTATATATTATATTATATTATATATTTTTGCTTTCTTATAACATTAGAGGAAAGTTAAATCTTCATATTAATAAAATTGTTTAATAAAGGAATGAATTGTCCAGTTGATAAATGAAAGTCACTGGTATATCTTTAGCGAGTTTTCTTTAATCACTGTGGAGTACTGTGCCAGCTGTCGTCGACACAATGATTTTGTATGTAGGGTAGGGAGCAGTGATGCTCTCAACAGGAAGATGGCGAGGCAAATTAATGGGGAGGGGGACTCCCTGCATTTTATCTACTTCAGCAATGAAACTGCAACTTGGGGCTTTTGTGAATAAAATTTAGCTGCCTCGTATAGTCCTTTGAAAGAGACATACACGATCTCTGAGAAAATTATAGTTTGTTTTTTTTTTAGAAGAAAAATGTGCAAAAGATCTTTCCAAAGATGATGTGCCACAGATCTTTTGTTTGTTGTTCTCTGTAATGAGGATCAAATGCTGTTTAAACGAAGAACTGACTTGTTCATCTTGGAATCCTTTCTTTCCACAAAAGGATCAAGCCGCATAAAAACAATAAAGGTTTAGAGAAATCGTTGGTGTTGGATCTGTGCTTTCACTGTGTTTGAATCAAGCAACACTTAAAATTCCCCATCTGAAATTTCCAAGGAGTGCTTCACACACAAAATGTGTTCTCACTCGTGATCCGTGTGTGGTGGTGAAAAGCGGCTCCGCCTCAGTGAGTTCACGACATCAGAAAGCACCTAGCTGCTCCCTGTGGATTGGGAATTTGAATGCGGGCCCTCCAGTTTGATCTTAGGCGTGCTTTCTCTCTGTCCATGTACTCACTTGCAGACTGTGTTGATATGGTGTCTACTCAGTGCGATGGCGAGGATCACACTGCATGTGTTGCGGATACCTCGCTTAGTTCCTGGCGTAGGGTAATCACTCAAACCTGGTGGCTATTTTATTTCTTCCGCTCCCCGCACCATAATATGCCAGTTGCCAGTCCTCTATCCCTGCCTGAACACTGACAGGAAACTCTGCCCACCCCTTATTATCCTTACCTATTTACCCATCGTTCTGTCGCATCAGTTTTCACTTGTACTGACTGGTCCTAATGAACGAACAGGTTTGTGGTGAAGTTGACCACTCAGCAGTACCTGCCATACAAGGCATCATTGCAAGAGTGGGGAAAGTGTGTGTGTTCTGAGTGAGAAACTACAGAGAAGACACCTCATAGGTAACAGGATTTGAAAATCATCAAATCTCTTCCAAGTCCTTAAACTTTCCTGTAAGAACTCTCCATGTCATGTCTTATGTCACTTTAAATGTCAGTAGTATACATTCAGGTATGGTTGTACCAATTGATTTTATCCAGCTACCTACAAAGAATGCTTCCATGACCATGCCTGAAACAAATATTTGGGCAAATTCAAACTCTTTCTTTGGGATAAATTCCTAATAGTGGATTATAGGGTAAAAGATACAATGCAAACAAAAACAAGTATAGAAAAACAGAATAGTACAATGTTTCCATACATGCCTACCACTTCCTTTCACCAGTTGACACTTTACCATGTTCTCTCTCTCTTTATAAATGTGTGTATCTGTGCTGAATAGTGAGTTGCAGTTGCTGGTTTTCTGTGTGCATCCCCCAGTGTAGCCACAATCCCCATTATAACATCGTTGTCTCAATTCAACACATGTTCAGATTTCTGCAGTTGTCATCAAACTGTTTTACAGTTTCCTTTTGAAGCATTGATTTAATTGAGTTTAAGCGTCCATGAATTCACTCCTCTCCTGTATTTGCCATCATCTAGAAGCTAGGTCAAATCTGAGTCTTAGGCCGGCACCGCAGCTCACTAGGCTAATCCTCCGCCTTGCGGCGCCGGCACACCGGGTTCTAGTCCCGGTCGGGGCACCAGGTTCTGTCCCGGTTGCCCCTCTTCCAGGCCAGCTCTCTGCTGTGGCCCGGGAGTGCAGTGGAGGATGGCCCAAGTGCTTGGGCCCTGCACCCCATGGGAGACCAGGAGAAGCACCTGGCTCCTGCCATCGGATCAGCGTGGTGCGCCTGCCGCAGCGCACTGGCTGCGGCGGCCATTGGAGGGTGAACCAACGGCAAAGGAAGACCTTTGTCTCTCTCACTGTCCCCTCTGTCTGTCAAAACAAAACAAAAAAATCTGAGTCTTTGCTTAAGATGGGGTCACCAGAGTTCTTCATAAAAGCGGGCTTTCCCTTGTTCCCCGTGCGTGGATCTAACCCCGTGGCGATGAGCCTGGTTCAGATCAGTTACCTCCTGGGAGCTGAGGAATAGGAGTGCGCTTCACAGGCCTGTGTTACTGCCGGATTGCCCAGAGAAAAGTTAAATCAAGGACAGAGTCTCCTTCACCACCCCGAGTACTGTGTTTGGAGCACAGAAGGTGTAAAAAATAATTCCGCCTGTTTGATGAGTGAGAGGTGGCTTTCTGATGTGTGCGTTTCTTCTTAATCCCGTGAGTATTTTCCTCTCCCAGCTGAAGCTGCCACTTCAGTGCAGGGGTTTTGTGACCAGTACTCGAGCGTGTTCAAGTACCGGTCTCAGTGGAAGCTTGTTTTTCTCCTGGCTCGGGTGAAATGACTTCCCTGCTAGGCAGGGTTCCGTTGATGAAGATGGAAGGAGATGTAAGCAGTGAAAAGGGGCAGATCCATTCCGGTTACCAAGGGCAGCTTTGCCCTTCTGATTTATCTGTTCAGATACCAGCGATTTATTACGTCACAAATCTCTCCCTCTCTCTCTCGCTTTTCAGCTTTTATTATGCTTTTAGTTTCAAGTAGGCAGACATCTGCCTACCAGAGACCTTGGAGTGTCTACTCTCGATTCTGCGATGAGTAATACAGTTTACAACTGTCATTACCACGGGGCAGTGCCCACAACTCTGAGAGGTCAATGACCGTGTCTCTGTGCTACACACCTACAGTCGTTCTGTTAGCCCGCCCCCTTGGAGCCAGCATTACTGGACTCAGTACTTGTTCTTCACCAGGACTGAGACTGTAATGTATCACAACCCAGGCCGCTCTTCTTGTTTTAAAGACTTGTTTATTTGAAAGTTAGGGAGAGACAAGAGAGCTCTCCATCCGTGAGTTCATTCCTCAGATGGCCGCAACGGCCGGTGCTGGAGCAGGCCAAAGCCAGGCTGCTTCTGGGTCTCCCACGCAGGTGCAGGGACCCCAGCACTTGGGCCATCCTCTGCTGCTTTCCCAGGTGCATCAGCAGGGAGCTGGATCAGAAGCGGAGCAGCCGGGGCCCAAACCGGTGCCCACATGGGATGCCGGCATCACAGGAATGATTTCACCAGCCACGCCATGACACCAGTGCCCCACCCCCACCACTTTTAAGTAAGTCATTTCTGTGGTACTTAGAGCCTTCAAGTCCACTTTATGCACCTTAAAGCCCAGTGGGTCATTACCAGAGTGTAGTCCAAGGCTCGTCTGCTTTCCTTGCGTCCTGACTAGAGAGCTGTGCTGTCTGGTCTGTCTCGCTTAGGAGCAGGACTCAGCATCAGTGGTCTCCTGGTAGGCCACACCCCGCCGGAAGCGACACTGCGGTGAGACACCGAGGCTCTGATAATGGAGGCCCCTGCCCTCGGCAGACTGCAGGGCGGGCTGGCTTTACAAGGCTGCCTGCTCTGGATAGGCGCTGTAGATGACCCTGTTGTACTGGAGCCCAGTGCTAGCATCTCTCCGCCTTATTTAGTGCGTAGGAGGATCAAACTACCATGGGCTTCATATCTGCTGCCTTCTAAGTATTCCTGTGAATTATCCTCTGAGCCACAACACACACATCCATTCCAGAAAAAAAATAAAAATAAAAAGTGCTGTTGTGGCCCAGAGGATTGACCCGGCGCCGGCTCGAGTCCTGGCTGTTCCACTTCCAATCCAGCTCTCTGTTAATGCACCTGGAAAGGGAGCGGAAGATGGCCCAAGTCCTTGGGCCCCTGCATCCATGTAGGAGACCCAGAAGAATCTCCTGCTGTTGCAGCCACTCAGGGAGAGAACCAGCAGGTGGAAGACCTCTGTTTCTCCCTCTCGCTAACTCTGCCTTTCAAATAAATTCTTAAAAAAAGAAAGGAGAATCTCAGTTGCGTGTGTGTATCTTTCTGTGGGCATTTGTACTGTTAGATGTGGAAAACTGGCGCTCACCCGAAGTGCCCAGAGAAAGGTGCCTTTAGTTGACTTCACCTCCCAACTTTTCCTTTTTTTTTTTTTTTTTTTTTTCAAAAAAAATTTATTTACTTATTTGAAGGTCAGAGTTACACAGAGAGAGAAGGAGAGGCAGAGACGGGGGTGGGGAGAGAGAGACCTTCCATTCACTGGTTCACTCCCCAATTGGCCACAACAGCCAGAGCTACACCGATTCTAAACCAGGAGCTTCTTCCAGGTCTCCAACGCCGGTGCAGGGGCCCAAGGACTTGGGCCATCTTGTACTGCTTTCCCAGGCCAGGGAAGAGATAGCGGGACCGAAAGTGGAGCAGCCGGAACTCGAACCGGCGCCCATATGGGATGCCAGCACTGCAGGCAGCGGCTTTACCTGCTACGCCACAGCGCCGGCCCAGACCTCCATCTTTGAAGACACTCCTTGTGTAGTTGAACTTGTACCCCGGATTGCAAATGAGGACTTCAAAAGAACCTCAAGGGAGGAAGCACGTGACCTGCTGCAGTGTTCCACACAAGGTCCCGAGCCCATGGGCTTGTGAGAGCTGCCTTGGTATTCTTTCTTTAAAGAGTTATTTTGAAAGAGAGGGAGAGACAGAGATGTCTTCCGTCCACTGGTTCACCCTCCAAATGGCCACAGTGGCCAGCACTGGGCCAGCCTGAAGCCAAGAGCTCCATTCAAGTCTCCCACGTTGGTGGCAGGGACCCCAGCACTTAGGCCATATGCTGCTGCTTTTCCCAGGCGTATCAGCAAGGCTAGAGGGAAATCGGAGCAGCCAGGGGCCGGAGCTGCGGTGTAGCAGATAAAGCTGCTGCCTGCGGTGTTGGCATCCCATATAGGCGCCAGTTCAAGTCCTGGCTGCTCCACTTTCTATCCAGCTCCCTGCTAATGCAACTAGGAAAGCAGAGAAGATGGCCCAAGTCCTTGGGCCCCTGCACCCATGTGGGAGACCTGGAAGAAGCTCCTGCTCGTGCCTTCGGATCAGCCCAGCTCCAGTCTTTGCGGCCATCTGGGGAGTGAACCAGCGGATGGAAGACCTCCCCCCGACCCCGCCTCTGCCTCTGCCTCTCTATAACCCCGCCTTTCAAATAAATAAATAAATAAAGTGGAGCAGCCGTATGAGATGCTAGTGGCACAGGTGGTAGTGGTGCCACAATGCTAACCCCTTACCTTGGCAATTTTTAAAAATTGCTTTTAAACTGAATTTTTTTTTTTTTTTTTTTTTTTTTTTACAGAGTGGACAGTGAGAGACAGAAAGGTCTTCCTTTGCTGTTGGTTCACCCTCCAATGGCCGCTGTGGCCAGTGTGCTGCGGCCGGCGCACCGCGCTGATCCAAAACCAGGAGCCAGGTGCTTCTCCTGGTCTCCCATGCAGGTGCAGGGCCCAAGCACTTGGGCCATCCTCCACTGCAC